CCAATCGGTCAGAATTATCAAGCGAAAAAATGTAGGCACTTTCAATAAGGAAACGTCGGTCAACGTCGAAATTTCCGTCATCCGCACTAACAGAATCTCCATCGAAAACTTCCATTAGGAAAGAAACCTTTATTTGTGTGACAGTTTCCTCGTTAGTTTACCCAATTTCTTTCTTTTCATTCGTCACCTATTATTTACTTCACCAAAGGAAGAAGCCGAAGAAGTTCGGGTACCCATCGATAAATTCGAGTAAATAGAAACGTCGTGAAAAGTGATTAACTTCCGAGGAAATAAAAGACTCGTATATTCAAGAAAAGGGAGAACTTAAAATGACGATGAACTGATTTTAACAAAAACGTTTCTCACTTAATGATGAGTTCAACAGACACGAATCATACTATTGTATAGTAACTGAAAGCTGTTTAGTGTGTTGAACTGCGTCACAGACGTAGTGGAAGCATTTTATTTCATCATCAATGATGATGTAAACTGATTAAAAGCGATAATAATTATATAATTACAGTCTTTCTCGGAATAAGAATGGAGCCATTATAATTAGTCTACTTAAACAAAGGAAAACAGTTTTGTGTTTCGACTGTAACATACCAACAAAAAAACGAAAAATCATATATTAAATCTATTTAAATAAATGAAATTTTATATTAGATTTTATAGCAAATAACAACATTACAAATTTTCTTAGATTGAAATATAAAAATAATTCTAAGTAAAATAATGTAGAAAACCACTCACTGATAACAGCTGTAACAGCAGGTCTTGCCTTTTTAATGATACTAATTTATAGAGTGAAATAAAATATATATAGTCTGCAACTTGCAGCGTATTACAGAATACACTTAAATAATATTTGCTCTTAAACAATTTTCTAATTGAAATTCAATAAAATAAACGAGCAATATGTCGAGATGAATTTTTTAATCATCTTTTTAATTTATTTAAAATATATGCTCTCCATCTCAAATTAGTAGTGACTTGCCCTGTATATTATACTTTTCTGTTAGCATCGGAGTCGTGCAAGTCATCTCTTTAACTCCTTTCAGGGAAAAGTTTTTTACTTCCGATACCGGAAGTTTTGTCATTTTAATTCAAAGATTTTCCCCTGAAAGGTGTTAGATAGAAGACCAGTTGACTTGGGATCGAATCCGGACGAATCACTTGGTGTATTGAACTTTTTCAATGTGAATTTTTGATTAAAAAAAGCAATAAACTTTCGTAATAAAAGTGACTATTGGGACATACGACTACTTAATTTCTATACATAAATGAGTAGTCGTGTGTACCAATAGTCACTCATTAATACACATAAATGACTATTTTGTTTGGCAATAGATCATATTAATTCAATTAGACCTACAAGAGAACGACCGTAACATGTCACAGCGTTAAACATTCTTTACGTTATTTTATAATATTTGTCTTAATAATTATTAATTTTATATTTACGTAAAACACTAAATTATTCGATTATACGAGTTATTTTATTACAGTCGACTATTTAAATTTATATTATTTACTTATCTATTCATTTTTATTAACGAATTTGGTAGTAATTGCATGAATTAAGAATAATATTACTTATATTTTGATTCGTAAGGATGTTATTGTAGGATAAAACTGAAACTGACGAATAACTGTTTTGTGTCTTTTCTTACTGTACATTTAATAATACCTATAATGTTGAAATAAAAAATATTAAATTCATTCTTTTGAAATATTGTACTTCGAAACTGAAAAAAAATTAAATGAATAGATGAGATTTATAGTTTAAATAGCACTATCATCAAATATTATCAGGTGATAAAATGGAAGTAAATAATTATTATTATTATAAAAAAAAACTTTAAATATTTATATAAAGATAATATCTGAAAATATTTTTGTGCTATTTACTTAACGAATTCACTTAATCATAATGTAGTGTAAGTGTGGAAGTTATTTAAACCGATATCCAAGGGACCAGAGTGATGTCGGATTATGAAAAATGCCGAATTACTGCATTTTTCTCCAAAATTTAATAGGCTACATACGATCCGAACGTTGCAAACATTCTGTACATTTTGTACCAATGCAAAGTTTCTGTACGCTTCAATTTGTTTAAGCATGTTCTTTAACACTCATACACTGTATCATTTTCAAACTTAAATCAGTTTGAAAATGATACAGTGTATGATAGAGACCTATTGTGTTAAGATTGATTGAAAACCCTTCAAAAGTGTTAATGAACAAAAACAACATTCACAATGATTCGTGTACGTACATATATTTATTTTACAGAACGTACTGTACTGTAGCCTATACATACGATTCATAAAAATTACATATGCGGGAAATTTAGTATGCCGGATTATTATCGAATAACTCTGGATTATCGAACATCTACTGCAATACAATAACTACAACTGAATATTTAAGCCTACGTATTTTAATTTATATTAAACGCTATTGTTCTGTCAATAAAATCGATCAAACGTATTTCAATTAAACATTTATAAAACATTATTATATCTTAAAATTTTGTATATAAATTTTATTAACGGCACATACATAAGCATGTATATCAATATATACTAAAGAATGCTATACAAGCTAAAGAATTTCAACTTTAAAACCATGCGTTAGAAACTTCGGAGTAATATTTCAAAAAATTATTATTATAGATCAATTGTATATATCAAAAATTAATCAGAAGTGGAATCCAATGTGACTTAAGTTTCAATGTTCTTCTTCGTGACGAGCATCACCTTAATTAGGATCGATAATTAAAATCGGATGGCACGAGATAGAAAACGAGAAAGTAAAATTACATTGCCAAACCTCTAGGAGTTGCATATTAGGATTTGGCGGGCCACACGCTGCTCGGGGCCCACAGATTGCTCGTGACAGGTTTAGCCGATTTAATACGGATGGAGGAACAGTTTCTTTTGCCCACTAAATCTACTTAAATGATTAAATCTATCAAGACAAACATTTCAACCACTGACAAAGTTTAATCCACTTTTCTTGATATATTTTCGAGAGTATCCATTATGTTACGATTTTTTTTCTTTTTATTGAGAAATGATTATTCTAATGTAACTGCATTGTGCAATTATTTATAGGCTAAATATTTATTACGGTCGCATTAGAGAAATGGAAAATTGTTTTAACGATTTTCATTTCAAATTTTTAATTATAATAAGATTAAGATTATAATAAAAATTATGAATTCAATAAGTGATTTTCAAACGTTTTAAACCCCCATTTGTATATTTCAAAATTTAAAAAAATGATGTTGCTACTGGCAGTACGATTTCAAGAGAGAACAATCTAATCAATTTGTTTGTGTTCATAATTAAATATCTGGACATACACATTATACATTATTTATTACTTTTTCCTGGACTTGTACTAAATTACTATTTTAATTAAAACTGTTTTAATTTAGGCATTTACTGGTTACTTTGCTGCTACATTAGAACCACACATAGCCTATATGTATTATAATAATACAGTATAATAACAATATATAATACAGACACGTTATTTAAAAAATTAAATAAAACATTTAAAATCTTATAATTTATTAATGAATATTCCATTGAAGGCAATAAAACCCACTCATTCAGATAACGATGACGTTTAGACCCACGCCTAAATAACAATCATTTTTATAAGAAGTTAACAAATGACTAACAGGAAAATTAAGATGAAATTATATTATTATTATTATTAATATTAAACATAAATATGCTTACTTTCGTCAAAATATTATAAATAATAATATAATTTGCTTGAAAAGATTTCGAAAAGGCATGAAGTAAGACATAAACAACTGTTATATTGTTAATGCTAATCAGTTGCATTTCTTGTTTTCCAGATAAAAAACAAGCCAGAAAAAAATAGAGTATAGGCCTATATTACTTTAAGATTAAAAATATAAAAAAACAACTACTTTTGTTAGTTTTTTTGTTTATAAAATACTTCACACTTGTAAAATTATTCTCATTTGTTTAACATTAGAATATTTCAGAAAAACAATTTATAATCATTTATTATTTAAAAAAAATGTAATAAAATTCATAAAATATATTTTATACGTGTATATAAATATATAAAATAAATTATCCGTGTTTTAACTTGAATTAATCAAGAAAAATAAGTAAATTACCATAAAAGATTGTATATACTCCTACACTTTTTTATATTAAATTAGAATAATTAAATATAGAAATGTTTTAAATATACAAAAGCACTTTAGTAAGACATTTAAAAACTTTTTTTTCAATATAAAGTAATTAAACATTGAGTTATAACGAATAAAACAGTCAATATTAGTTTAAAATTGACGAATTTTAAAGTAATAACGCCCTATATATCTCTATAACATTAAAATTTTGTAATTTTATTGCTTAAGAATGCGTACTTTTCCCAGAACACTCCTTATAACGGCTTATGTTAGTAGAATTTCTTTTAAATAAAACACATGCTAGAAATTAGCGCAAATTATATACATATATAGGAGGGAAAAATAATTTAAACTTTATATAATTAATATATAAACATATAATTATTAATAGATATGATGAGAGATGCGAGTAAGGAATATATAAAAACAAGAAAAGAATGGAAATAACAAAAGAACACGTGGATAAACATTTAATAGGCGATAATATCGACTCACCTTAGACGATAATTATCGAGTTTTAGATAGCTAATCTCGCGAAATTAAGCAAACTCGAACAGATGTTCCTATCTCGTCTCCTACCTCACCGCACACGCCTAAACTTCTACCGACATATAAGGAATTATAACTCGGCGTAATTTTTATATAACGTTTCACCGATATTAAAAATTGTATTATTAACTCTCTTTAATTTTATTAAAATAAATTCGCATAATTTAATTTTTTTTCTTTAAATTTACTTTATCGGAATATTTTCCATTAACCTAGTTCTCAAGTTTTAACTGCGGAACCGTTAAATGGCAACATTGTCATTTAATTGCGAATGGCGAAGGAGGCGGGTCGTTAGTCTACGCGAGTGATTTCTCTTTCGTTTCCTACGAAAAACAATAAATGCGAAGAAGTTTTTTTTTTTAATTATTTCGTTCGTATATTTATATAATGACGAACGGAAATATTTGGTTATTTATACTCGCTCTGTGCTGTTGTATAAGTTTAATTAGAAGTAATGATTCTGCCGATATTAAATTAGATGAAAAAGCCAAGAAACTACATCAGATTGATTCTCTTAATATTTTGGCTTACGTTTTCTTATTAATTCTAACCGTCTGCACCATTTGGTTTTTTAAAAGGAGGAGAATTCGTTACTTGCACGAAACTGGATTAGCTGTTATTTATGGTAAGATTATAAACATATAAACTTATTTTATTTTTATTGTAGGATTTACTGTAAATATTTACTTTATACATTATAAATATATATATACATATTAACAGTACTGTACTTGGTGCGTAAATTTCACTCAGTTTTACTATGTAAATTTTCACTGATTAAATTAATATCAATTGCAATAAATGCTGACAAAAAAAAATGGTAATATTATAGCACAGAATGCTGGATAAATACAAATTTTTAATGAGCACAAATGTAATAGTCGATCAAATATAAAAATTTGTATTTGATCGGCAATTTGTGGCATGTTTCGTGTATCTCTTGCTGTTTTTGCAGCGTAGTTGGCACACAATGTAAACGAGTGTTGAAAAATATAAAAATATATGTGACGTTTCTGTTGGGTATTTGATTTTTGCCCGTCGACGTACAAGATTTAAAAACTGGTGCGTAAATAATCTTATCGTCATCATGATCTCATTTAAAAAAACAATTGGCATTGAAATTCGAATCGTATTTAAAAAAAAAACAATTGGCATTGAAATGCAAACCATAATATGTGGAATAAATTATTTAGATTACAGGTATACCTCGACTTACGTCGTTCCGTTCCCGATTATACGTAGTTTGTCAAAAAAGTATATGGAAAAATAAAAATCAAGTTTAAGTCATTTTATTTGACTTTATGTCTGTCCGCCACAAATATTGAAGTCATAATATCACTAGAAAAATGTTTAAAGCACACATTAAAATATATACATTTACAAGTATATACTGTATTTATAGTACATGCATTCGTAAATTTAGATTACTTTTTTCTGTACTAGATTAAAAACTAAAATTTATTTTATTTGTAAGCTTAAAATAGATCCTTATTAACCATATATTATTAAAAATGCATTAATAAATAAAATACAGAACCGGGAATGGTTTAGCCTAGTGACAAGTAGATTCGGAGACAAGTAAATTCGACTTACGTTGCCTCTCCTGGAACCAATTAGCGACATAAGGTGAGGTATATCTGTATTTGTGTAAAATGTTTTAAAATTATAAAAGGTTAATTTTTTTAACTTTGTCCTGTGGGTGCTGAGAGGGCCTTTTCTCAGGCTTGCGGGTTCGGCCGGTCTCGTAGAATGGTCGGGTGGTGACGGATGAACTGTTCTCCGAAAAATTATCATCCTGGAGACTCGGGACAGGTTTATTGTGACTGTCATCTTAATAAACCTGCATCTCCCCACTTTTGTGTGATTACTCCAACAATGTTGATAGTGTGTGATAAGTCTTCCGTAGAGCCAAAAACTTAGTGCTCATAGATTCATATTGAAAGTATCGTGATATATATTATGGAGAAATATCTTCACATAGACTAGACAGTAACTTATTAATGAAAGTATCAATTTGCTTAGAGCTTTTATTTCTGGTATTGTTAAACTATAAAGACACATTTTTCATTGAGACGAGGTCGTATATATTTATTATAATTAGAGTTTTATTGAGAATTTGACATAGAATTTGAAATTGACCTAAGTTTATGAAAGTGGAAAGAAAACAAAAAATTATGATACTACATAGATTACGAATGAGGACTTTTTATAATGTTAGTGAAAAAATATTTATATATTATTGGCAGTTTTAAATGTATAACTCTCGTTGTTGTTATACAAAGTATATCATTCTAACGAAATATATTCATTATTATTTCAGATGAATTTAACAATTCCATAGAAATGAAACAACTGCCATAAAAACATCAAAACAAGAACTGATATTGAAATAATGTTTTTTCAAATTGAAGTAGATTTAAATTCCATTTTGATTAGTTCGCATGCTAAACTTGAAAATCTAATTTAGTCTCAGATCATACTTGGCTTTGATCCAATTTGGGTTATAGTTAATAAAAATAAGCATGATTTCATATATTAAATATGAATAATTAAAATTGCTTTATATACTGAAATGATTGTCTATTATTTTGTAGATATTAATATATTTACAAATTTTAATATTTTAGTCAAAATACAGAATGGTTTTCGAGTTAGATGATGATGACAGTGCTTGAAAATTTCTTGGCGTTAATTGTTTATAAGAAATGATGAAAAAAAATTTTTAAAAATTCATTTATCATCAAGAAATTAATATCTCTATATTGACTTCATGATTTGCCAAATAACTTTAAGAAATTTATCTATTTAATTTTATCAGTTTTCCTTAGAAACATATATGCTTTTCTGTGGTGATTGGATTCCCTGCATTAGGAAGGACAATTCTGTTGTCTTTTCTATATCCAAAGGTGTTTGTTAGGACACTTCAACATCCTGCTTTGCAATTTTGATCTGACCATTTAAAGTGTTTTAATAGTAGTATGTACTATTTAACAATACTAAGTATTGTATTTTTGTGTGTATAATCCACAGAAAATTTCCAGAACAAAATTAAAACTTTCTCTAAACTCATCTTACCATACTATTGTTTTTAGGCACAAGTTCATAATAGCAATTGTAAATTGGCATATAACTTTCAAGTTGTCCTTTAAACACAGGTAATATGCACAAAAATATGGTAAATATTTTCTCTGAGCGTATGATAACCTTACGTTTTGAGAAGTTAATAAAATGTTTATGTATAACACACTAGCACAATAAATAACAGCTGGAATAAGAAAGATGATGACAGTCAACATGTCCAATTCCATCATAGGCATCAAAATGCTAAATAATCTTATAAGATTTTGTATAAACATTAGAAGATTTTTTCATCAGTTCATTCATTTTGAGATCAGAAGTCATGTAAATTGGTTTTCAAGAATACAATTTAGAATTGATTGCAATATATATGTCATGGACCAAGTGATTAATGTTGTTAATGTCCAGTCATTATGAATAACAACATTACTAATATAAAACCCCTCGTATGTGTGTGCTGTGAATTCCTTAAAACTTTCTTTGTCATTATTTATAATACCCAATTAATCACTTGGTTCATAACAGGTGAATATATATATATATATATATATATATGATGATTGTTTGTTCGCTTTACACGCCTAGGCCGTTTGACCAATTGCTAAGAAACTTGGTAGTTATGTTCAAATACTTCTAAATTAGATCATGTCATACATCCCATCCCAAATTATCAATTGGATATCTATATATTGATTAATTTCTCTTCACATTTGATTGCTGGCTTTACATGTGGCGCCATCTATTGGAAAAAGTTAACTAAATAATTAACTAAACAATTCTTACAAAAAAAAGGATATAATTTTAAAATATATATGTATTATATTCACTGAATTACTCTGACAATGATATAGTGTGGAATAGATGTGCCATTGGGCCACAGCACTTGCCTGTGTGGAGTGTAGTAGTGTTTTGCCCCTGTACATCATACTTTTCCTGTTAGAAATAGAGTCATGCCAGTTATGTATCTAACTCTGTTAGGGAAAAATGTTTGAATTGAAATAATGCAATTCACAGTACAAATCAGAAGTTTGTATATAGTTAACATGGTCCTCTTTCTCTTATGATCTCCATGTCTAGTCTCGACTTTCATCTATCTAAGTCCATTGTCAATATTAAGGAAGGACACAGACAGACGGATGACAGCGGACATTTATAAGTCTATAATTTTTTTCAAATTGTAGCCCAATAAGTACCCTTCAGTAACTGAATGGATAAAACCATCAAATACCTGTAGTCTGTCATGGGTTTGTGCATGGCCAATGGTGTGGCCACATGGAGTTTTCTGGGTTTTATTCATGTTAGTAACACTTAAATTGGGGGCAACTTTACATAAGTCTTCCCAGGATGCATCCTCCTTGGCAGAATGCTCACGTGTTGCATTTCTGTAATCAAATAAACCAATTCTAATAATTTTTCTATAAACACAATATTTACAAGGACATTCTTAACTTCCAGGAAACCTGGACATCCCATCCCCTCCCCTGATTTCATCTCTCCTTGGTAACTTATAAACCCATTGCCCCAAACTTCTTTTACTGATATTGTTTGAGATGCTTTAACATTTGGCCAAATTAATGTCATGCAATGATTTTAAGGCACAAAGTCTTTTTCTGTGCCAATGTTTTTCCTATTTATTATCATGGCAACATTGTTTCATTCAAAACTTGCTGTATTTGTAATCTGTGTAATGTGCACTTTATTCACGTGTTGTCTTACTGTCAAATCTGCTTCTTATGCCACAACTTCAAAAGTTTCCTTTACTTGGATGTTTTTTCTGAGTTCTACTTTTTCAACCTGGTTTCACCAAGATTTTTATGGGATCACATAAAAACAGTTATTCTCACATTTTTACAAGATTTTTTTTTATTTAAAAAATTTTTATATCAAGTGTTTCAGACATTAAGGTTAGCAACTTCGATCACATGCAGGGTCAACACAGATCACACTTTTCAAATATTAATAGTAGAGTAGTAAGTAGTAGTCATTGACTATCCTCTCTTTCAGGAGGAGGATGACAACTACTTCGGTTGAATTAACTTTAACCTCCATCTGCAGAGTCCCTTCTTCCTATGGCTGTGGAGTTGGGAGGAATTTCTGGCCAGAGGAGTCGGAAAAAATGTGTCGACTCTGACTCTGGCATTTTAAATTTAATTTAGTTTTTTTTTTATTTAAATGAAAGAAAATTTATTTTATATTTAATAATTTTTAAAAATGTTTGTGTTTTGTTATAATTCATTTGTTTTAAATAAAAAATGCAACAATTTAATTAAATATGTATCAATAATTTTCTTTGTAGTATTTGTGTTTAGTAGTAAAATTATTTTGATCCAATTGACTCATTCCTTTATTATCTCCATTTTAAATAAGTACTTTATTTTTCTGAATGAGCCAGACTGATCAGATTATATATTTTTCTTTTCTGAACAAGGCACTGAAGTAGCTAGATTGTGCACTTTTTAGTTGGACAAGCTTTTCTGGAAAGTTAAAATTGAAATGCAAAAGCTGTAGAATTTTATCACTCCTCCTTTTTCCTCTTATTAAATATTTGTTAAAAATTAAATTTTTTATACAAATAAATATTAATGTAAGTTAAATATTAAAAATACTAACTATAAAAGTATTTGGGTAAATGTTTGGCACTTCTTTCAGAGTTCAGAGTAGGGTAACCCCCTATGAGTGCCTCTGTCCCCCCATAAAATGACTTGATATTTAATTTAGCCAGAGTCGTGAGTCAGAGCTGGCCTACTAAAATTATCAGGAGTCGTAGTTGGAGTCGAGTATTTTTTTACTGACTTCACAGCCATGCTTCTTCCTATCAGATCCAGTGGTTTGGTAGCATTTGAATAGGAAAATTACATAATATGAAGTTATCAGCATGCACAAAATATGTTTTAAGTGGTTTTCAAAGGTGTTGAGTTTAAATATTTGGTCCATTTTTTGCAAAATTTGATTTATTGACAGATTGATATTCAGTTGTGAATGAAACAGTTTGTTAGTGCTAACATTAGAAAAAAATACATCTTATATCTTTTAGATATTGTATTTTCAATTCCTGTCTACTTGACCAATGAAATTGTGCCATTTCTTATCATCTGAGTATTGCAACAAATATGACAATGATAGGCTAAAATAACCAAATCTTTATATGGTTTGCATTTTAATGTTTGTTATATACAGTAATACCTCGACTTACGCTACCCCAACTTACGCGAACCCGGAGTTACACGATTTTCAAATCTTGTCGATTCGTCTTTTGTTTGAGCGCCACGCAACTCTTGATTACTCACTCTCCCCACATTATTGTTCAGCTTACATGTTTGGATGTGACGCGTGGAATCGACACATAGCTACAATTTATTTTGTATTATTTATTTCTGTGTTTGTTATATCTACGGCGACTCGAGAGACTCTATGTGGTGATTTCTTGTAACCATGAATGAATCAAAAGATGAGATAAGATTAATGAGAACATTTGTTAGCTTACATACATCCGACTTGGATTTTACACAAATTGCGAAATTATACCCTGACTTACGCGGTTATCGCTCGGTCCCACCTATTGCGTAAGTTCGGGGTATTACTGTACTATATTATAGCATTTGATTTATATAACTACAAAGGTTATCTTATGTAAGGGTTTATCATACCAAGTAACCAGTAATACATTTTTAAAATTTTGTTCCTCAACTGTACACAATTTAAAGAGTTTTTAAAATGTGTTAGCTTGGTCACTTAGTGCAATAAACCCTTATGTAAGATAACGTTTGTAGTTATATAAATCAAATTCTATGATATAATATAATAGAAGGGTTAAAAGCATGAAATAATCTTAATGTTTGTACTTACTTTTTGCCCAGACAATGCCAGACTTATCTGCTAGTTCTACAGTATTTTATAAATATTTATTATTGTTTCTCTTTCTCTCATGTAATCATAATATAAACTGCAATAATAAATCTTATGGGGTATTTCCAATAGAGATTTTTGTTGGTGTAATGCAACATTCTCTAGAATTATTTGAAAATATAAAATAATGAAACTTTGAATCAAACACAAATTATTCTTTTGTGAATTAAAAAATTTTAATAAAATTGTTTGGACTTTTAAACTAAATAGGCTTTAAATTCTCTGAAAATCACTTGTTAAAAGGTTGTTAAAATTTTAGTTTTTTTTTTTCTTTTAATGTTATGAAAAATTGTGTTTTGCCATGTGGTGTATAAATTATTTTATACACCACATGGCAAAACACCTACAAATTATTTAATAACACAGATGTTATATTCTTAAGAATAATTAACAACAGTTATTTTTTTATCAGGAAATTCTATAGACAATTCTTCTGTCATTTCTTCTTTAATAAAGTTTTTCCTTTTTTCTCTTGACAGTATTTCCTGAGATAACTTTATTATATAAATTTTTATTTGAAAGTTTTTCTTTAAATTTAAATATTTTTATTTTATTGTTTAATTTTATTGTTCATCAAAATATTTTTAGCTAATTCAAGTATACTGTATGATAAATTACATTGTCTTATGGAATATAGTGGTCTATAACAATATCATCATTATTCTCTTAATCAATGAGTAATTACTTTTCTGTAATTCCCCACTTAAGAAATCACTTGGATCAGTTTTTTGTAAGCAAAGATCAAAACTTTTATGAATGTGGAATCATGCTACAAGAAAGATGGCAACAGGTATTGGACCAAAATGGTCAATATGTAATTTAATAAAATATTTATATATTCCAAGAAAATTGTTTTTTTTTTTTTCCATGGGGGGGAAAAATGAAATTACTTTATTAATAACTCAATAATTTTCAAAGGATTGGGTCTTAGATAAAGAACATACATATCTAAACATAATGTAAATCAAATAGTCTTTATAATTCCAACATTATAACTATGTCAAGCTTTACATGCATTGCTTTTTTCAACATATACATATGTAATTAACTCAGATCTAATCATAAAATTTATACATACATGCACTAATAAAATTATGCACCCATATTTTTGCAGTAATTGAACAATTCTATGTTTCAAACAGGTATGTAAATGATTACAGGTTTAGTCCAATTGCACACCTAAGCAATGCCATCAGAATGTCTTAATATTTCTATTCCGATATCCTATAAAAAGGCTTGCAGAGGCTCATTGTCTTCAGAGTTTTCAGTGTATCTGTTGTTCAGAGGGCTTCAGATGCCAAGCATGCCTGTATAATGCAAAGACATTGCACACAATTCAGAGAATTTAAGAAAGGTCACATTTATCAATTTGAAAAAAGCAGGGATGGATGTTTTGCTGAGTTGTCCACCATCTGGGTTGCTCTGACCTGACTGTGAGATGGTGTTGAGGACAATGGATATATTGGGACACACACATGGCAGTTGGTCTGTCTGGTGCCTCAGACAGACCATCAGAGAGATGATGACCATGAGACAGGCATGAACAGTTGCAATAGTATTATTGTCCATCATCCAAAGACAGACGGATTAGCCTTATGACAGAACCCTGTCTCTTCTCATATGATTGGCAAGTGACTAGCAGACTAGCAGAAGCAAATTTGCATGCACTGCAACTGTTACATATCTTGCCATTAATACTCCAACATCATCAGCTTCATTTTCAATGGTACCATGACAGAAGTATGGACTAGCTACAGACTAGCAATGAATTGTTTTTAGCAACAAAGCTTGTTTGTTTTGGAACAGATGACTACTGTATTAGTGTGGAGAACCACTGGTGAGTGCTTCAATCCTGCTTTAGTGTGAGGGATCTGGCACAGTAACTACAACATTTGTAGGCAAATAGTAGATTCACAAGATAGTAGACGATATTTATATGCCTCCATGCTCAACTGTATCTTGTATTCAGAAAAAAAATTGTACAAGATACTAAAGGTTGCTTTAATTTGTACCACTGTTTGACTGGAAATTGTTCCTTTGCTATGATATTGTAATCACTTATTACTGTTGTCATTACATTTATACTAATAAAGTTTCATTCAGTTACAATAGTACCTCCTCAGTGCATAAACTTTTTTTATCAATGATTTTATATTACAATAAATTCATTTCTTTCAATAAAAGTTGAACTTAGATGAAATAGAAAAATTAATTTGTGTATCCCAAACTTTAAATGTAAATTTTTCTTTTGGTTCAGTCGTAAAATAATAATAATAATGAATTCAATTCTGTCTTTTATTCAGTAATAGTAAAAGTACAATTTGCTTTAGATTTATTGATTTTTAGTTTTTATAAGAAGATTGAATACAGAAGTTTGAAAAATTTAACTATTTATTAATCTAATTGTAAACTGAAAAGCTAAACATTTAAACTGTTTATTGGTAGTGATAATGATTATTTTTGTATTAATTAAATTATTAATAAGTCAGTGAAATATAAATATGACTATTCGAATTATGTTTATTTTTAAATTGTAAATTTTTCATGTTTATAAATTGTCAATAAGTGTTAATAAAATATAGCATTAACCAAACAGTAATGCAATTACTTTGTCATGTTTATGTTAAGCATTCCTATTTAACATTTTATTTTACTGTTAGTTACATTTATTTTTATTAACTTAATTCAAAATTGAACGTTCTTAATATTACTTTTAATTATGTGAAGTGACATTAAGAAAACATTGTATAACTTTACATTAAATTTCATCTAAAGTTAATGTATCACTAAATATAACACTTTTCTTTAATTTAATAATTTATTTATAAAATATGTAATATTATTTGATTTTTTTTATCATTATATTGGATTAAATGCAATATATTTACTTTGTTTTTATTATTTTCTTTGAAGGATTGTTAATGGGTGCCATTATACGTTATGCTGGTGAAGAATCAGAAGTTACACATTTGACAGTTAACTCACCTTCTGAAAATAGATCAATACCTCCTGATAATATATATCTTCCTATGCTTGTAAAAATGCCAACAGGAAACCAAGATAAATTAAAACAGATCAATAAAACATATGCCTATGTTTTTAGAGGTGAACTGACAGATGTATCAAGTAAAAAGTTAGATCAGAAGGTAAGAATTTTATACTAAAATTTTAAAATCAGTCTCAAAGTAACAAAAAGTTATACATGCATGTATCCGTACAATACAAACACACACAAACATACATATCTTACATATTGGTGTTAATCATCAAGTTAAAACTAAATAAGAAATCTATACTACTATATAAAGAGACAATGTATTTTTCGTTTGTGACCACTAACTGTGAAAACTACTGAACCAATCGTTACCAAATTTTAACTGAAGCATCTTTATGACCCCCGGAATGTTTACCACTAATCAAACATGCAGATTTTTTGTTAAACATTTATATAAATTAAAAGATATGATGTAGGGTTAAGGCTTTTATGTCCAACAGATGGCGCTACGAGTATGACACCCTAAGTTTGCTTTTCTGTGAGGATGAACTAAAGCAGATCATCTTCTATCTATCTATATAAATAAAAATGTAATGTTCGTTTGTTCCTACCAATTCCTTTGAAATTTTCACAGAATTTGAATACGCACGTGTTTTTATATAATATACATGTCGAAATTCCCCCCACTGGGGGAGATGAACAGGATTAAGGCTTACCGTAAAGAACTCTGCTTCTATTTCTACTATTTTAGATGTGGTTTTTTGCGTTTTTGATTGTGTTTTAATAGGGTATGTCAACAGAATATACACTAAAAAGGGATTTTTCAATATTCTCCCCGTGGGGGGAGAGACAGGATTAAGGCTTACCTTGAAGAACTTGGCTTCTATTATGCTATTTTAGATGTGAGTTTTTGCGTTTTTGATTGCATTTTAATAGGGTATGCTAAGAGAATGTACACTAAGAAGAAATTTTTTGAAAAATCCCCCCACCTGGGGAAAGTGTTATAAATTTATAATAAATACATTTTGAGCCACAACAACGCGTGGCAGGGTCTGCTAGTATATAATAAAAAAAAATTTAAAGAAATATGTTTTCTTCACAGAAATGAACTAAAAAGTAAAAAAATATTTTCTTTGGTTTTTTCGGTATTCTTAATATCGTGAGACCAAAAATAAACACATGGGACATTCATGTTTAGAAATATTCTTAGTTACACTTTCTATCAATTTTTATGGGCTTCACCATGAGTGTCCACAACATTTATTTTTGGTTGCATAATACCAAGAATACTGTGAAAACTGAATAAAATTTATTTTTTACTTTTTAATGCATTCATGTAAATAAAAGCATTTCTTTAAAACTTTTTATACTTTTTTCCTATTTCTTTTTACTCTACTCTGAGGGCAAGTTTTTTCAGCAAAATCATTGTAGGTTTATCTAGTCCCACAATCGGGAAGCCAGGTGGTGTGGGAAAAGCCCAACATATTTGGACTGGATCACCCCCAAAAAATTCCTGGGGTTTTTTAACCTACGTGGATTTGATGCTGGATTCTTCAGGAACAAAATCTAATTATTTAATTTTTCTGCTTTCAGAGTAATGCACAATAATCATAGAAACATTGAATAACAATTTTGATTCCTATTTTACAGAAGAAATTACCAGATTTGTTGTCCCCAGTGTCTGTAATGTTATGAACAGAGGAGTGTACTTTTGTTGGAGTGGAAATGAGACTGTCTTGTTGATTGTATATTAGTACATTTTAATTAGTAACTAAGCAGAAGTGCCATTTTAGTAATTTTAAATTGCACCATTAAATTCTTTGTGAAAAATTAAGTCTATTAGATCACTTTTTAGCCCAGTAGACTAGTTGTCTTTAGTTTTTATAGTGTACAAACAAACATACATTCAGAAATACAATAAGAGATCACTTAATGCTGACTCAATTGACACTGATTTGATATAATGCGGTCTGCTCAAAGCCTTAAAAAGTGCTCAAAATTTACACTGATTCAAATTAACACGGCAGTTGATTGATTTGTATATAATACGATTATTTACAAACATGAACCAATCAGCAAAAGGTGTTATCTCGTCGTAGTACTGTATTTTCCTTAAATCTATCTTTGTTTGGTGCAATGTTGGAAAAGATATAACATCATGGATGCCATATGCAATGTTGACTTTGCTTGGCAAGAATTAACTGATAAATGCATGAACAGAGTGTGGAAGAAGTTATAGCTGGAGATATCCAAGAATTCTCAAAGAGAAGAGCCTATTGCTATATCGTTAGATTGACCAAATTGTCAACCTAATGATACAGCAGGACTAGGAAATTTAGACAAGCAAGATATTGAAGAGTTACTGCNTTTACATTCCAAAGATAAAGTTTTTCTTTTCTTGTTTGATGCAGAAGAATTAGTTCTACTTCGTTTGGATGACATAGTAGTCTCTTGAGTCTCCGTAGATATAACAAACACAGAAATAAATAACACAAAATAAATTATAGCTATGTGTGGATTCTGCGCAACACATCCGAACATGTAAGCTGAACAATAGTGTGGGGGGAGTGAGTAATCAATTGTTGCGTGGCACTCAAACAAAAGACGAATCGACGAGATTTGAAAATCGCGTAAGTCGGGGTATGGGGTATTACTGTACTGCTCCACACTTCAGTGGTGAATACTATGCCCCCCCCTTATTTTGTTTGATTTAAAAATTACTAATTTATTTTTATAAATAAATTTTATTNAGGGTAATTGTTTGGCACTTCTTTCAGAGTTCAGAGTAGGGTAACCCCCTATGAGTGCCTCTGTCCCCCCATAAAATGACTTGATATTTAATTTAGCCAGAGTCGTGAGTCAGAGCTGGCCTACTAAAATTATCAGGAGTCGTAGTTGGAGTCGAGTATTTTTTTACTGACTTCACAGCCATGCTTCTTCCTATCAGATCCAGTGGTTTGGTAGCATTTGAATAGGAAAATTACATAATATGAAGTTATCAGCATGCACAAAATATGTTTTAAGTGGTTTTCAAAGGTGTTGAGTTTAAATATTTGGTCCATTTTTTGCAAAATTTGATTTATTGACAGATTGATATTCAGTTGTGAATGAAACAGTTTGTTAGTGCTAACATTAGAAAAAAATACATCTTATATCTTTTAGATATTGTATTTTCAATTCCTGTCTACTTGACCAATGAAATTGTGCCATTTCTTATCATCTGAGTATTGCAACAAATATGACAATGATAGGCTAAAATAACCAAATCTTTATATGGTTTGCATTTTAATGTTTGTTATATACAGTAATACCTCGACTTACGCTACCCCAACTTACGCGAACCCGGAGTTACACGATTTTCAAATCTTGTCGATTCGTCTTTTGTTTGAGCGCCACGCAACTCTTGATTACTCACTCTCCCCACATTATTGTTCAGCTTACATGTTTGGATGTGACGCGCGGAATCGACACATAGCTACAATTTATTTTGTATTATTTATTTCTGTGTTTGTTATATCTACGGCGACTCGAGAGACTCTATGTGGTGATTTCTTGTAACCATGAACGAATCAAAAGATGAGATAAGATTAATGAGAACATTTGTTAGCTTACATACATCCGACTTGGATTTTACACAAATTGCGAAATTATACCCCGACTTACGCGGTTATCGCTCGGTCCCACCTATTGCGTAAGTTCGGGGTATTACTGTACTATATTATAGCATTTGATTTATATAACTACAAAGGTTATCTTATGTAAGGGTTTATCATACCAAGTAACCAGTAATACATTTTTAAAATTTTGTTCCTCAACTGTACACAATTTAAAGAGTTTTTAAAATGTGTTAGCTTGGTCACTTAGTGCAATAAACCCTTATGTAAGATAACGTTTGTAGTTATATAAATCAAATTCTATGATATAATATAATAGAAGGGTTAAAAGCATGAAATAATCTTAATGTTTGTACTTACTTTTTGCCCAGACAATGCCAGACTTATCTGCTAGTTCTACAGTATTTTATAAATATTTATTATTGTTTCTCTTTCTCTCATGTAATCATAATATAAACTGCAATAATAAATCTTATGGGGTATTTCCAATAGAGATTTTTGTTGGTGTAATGCAACATTCTCTAGAATTATTTGAAAATATAAAATAATGAAACTTTGAATCAAACACAAATTATTCTTTTGTGAATTAAAAAATTTTAATAAAATTGTTTGGACTTTTAAACTAAATAGGCTTTAAATTCTCTGAAAATCACTTGNTATATTTCTGCATTTTCACTGGTCCTTATCTTATGTATAGCTGTAACACTTTCATATATTCTGTTTCTATTATTTTCTTCTTGTCTACATCACTGAGAATTCAGTACTTACCTAATGTCAATAACTATCGATATTATTGTGTATTTGTAATCAATCTTTTCAAGATATCAAATTATAAATTAATTTGGTTAATGACTAATAAATGAACTGTGTCATCAAAGACAAAGTTTGTTTCATTTCATTTCCTTTTTATGTTCTACTAACTTGAATAGTTAAAGAAAAGTAAACTGAATTATTTCAGATACTAATCTATAAGCAGCAAACTTCCAAAATGACTTGAAAGTTTAGGAAAAGTTCATAATTATTCTTAATTTCTATAATTTTTTGCAAAGTTTAGATTATTACTAATAATTTTTTATTGATAATAATAATAATCAACTTTGTTAATAAACTTTAAAATCTTATTCTCTTTCATACAGATCTCCATTTAACAAATTCCCTTTTAGTGAATCTTGGTTTAATAGGTCAACTTTCTTGACCTAGATAGTTCAATGCCATAAGTCAAATAAGCATTTACTGTTAATGAAAAAATGTATGCTTTCTATTCCTTTTTTTATAGAATTTACTAAAAAAAATTTTGAAGTAATTCAAACAGTAATGTGATAGTCACATAAACATTGAAAACCACTGGTTTGAGCACAGATGTATATGGAAGTTTTAATGGATGTGCAAAAATTAAATTTTTTGATGAAATCACAAGAAATTAACAAAGTATTTGAGAATAACTATATGATCTCTTTTCTCATCATAGCAATAAAATAATAATTTACTGGTTTTAGGTATTTCATGTTTACATTTTTAGCTTCAAATTGATGTACAC